TACTCATGGCATTTTTATCTTTATTCCTCAATTTTTCGAGTGCCTTGGATTTTCTGCCCTTTCGTGTGTGTTTAATAGTCTGAGGGTTCTATAAAAAAATGCTGGTCACTGTGTGGAAGGTTGGTCTGGGAGGGGTGAGAGAAAGACCGCTGAACTGAATGACCTACGGAGCTGCTGCTCACAGACGAGGACGCACTGCACTTACCATGACAAAAGAGCCTACAGTATGTCGTTAAAATGGGAAAACACATGTAATAATGTGAAAATCGGCTTTAACACGAAAGTATCTCATAAAAACAAGTAAACCATCTGGTTATAACGAGGAAAACTTCTCGTTCAAACAAGATTTGTGCTGCCATAGGCAGCTCCTGTGTGTACTATGGAACATAATCCTGCAGGTGTCACTGACCATATCCATCATATCCTGTGTGTCTTTACATTAATATTATTTAATCACTGTTGCTCATACCTTTGAATAAAACAAATTTATAAGGTAAATTTTCATGAGGCAAAACATAAAATAATCTGTTAACCTAGGCGACTGTGGTTCAGTGGGTAAAGCAGTCATCTCCCAACCGGAGGGTTGGAGGTTCAAATCACGGTGCTTGCAGTCCACATGTTGAAGTGTCCTTGGGCAAGACACTGAACCCCCAAGTTGTCCCCAAGAGCCATCGGTTGAGTTGGTATCGCAGATGGCTGCCTCGGTTCTGTAACGGAAACAAATTCCTTGTGTGTGTAACATACTTGGCCAAATAAAGGTGATTATTATTATTAAATTTACTATTAGTCTACACTGTCCAACAGCAGCAGCAAAGGACAGTAAATAAGATTTTTATTTCTTAGTCTCCCCAAGAAATAAAACTATTAATAGTATACAATATTAATATGAGGTCTTTACCTTAATGGGTGAGTGAACACAAAGCTCTCCAATAACTAATAATCAATCAATAATAATCAATCATGTCAGACTGAAAAACTTTCTTTCCCTCTGCCATCAGACTCCTAAACAGCAGACAGGAGTTTATTACCAGGAAATTAGTCATGTACTGTTTACATTCTCAGTTTGCACATGCATAATTGCACATTGACTGCTGCACATGCTGCTCCTATGCAGCATACGTTCTCTTATTATATTCTCATATATTTTTTATTATATTGCTGCATCTGTTGCTGCTTAAAGTGCCTTAGATTTTGTGTTATCTACTTTATATTTCATTTGTATTTTGTGGCATTCATGTGGACGGCAAAGTAAGAATTTCATTGTACAGGGAAACACGTTTCCTAACTGTGTATATGACAGTAAACACTTTGACCTTGATCAACCACTATAAAATCAGAACTAATCAGCAATCTGGTGTAGAAAATAATCCTTCAGTCACAACACAGATTTGTTTCTAGTTTACTTTTGGCGTTAACTGGCTTAGCACCAGGTCGGTGTTGTGAAAATTCAAACCATGAAAACACCTGAACAGCACTGAGCACCTGGCAGCCAGGTAACCCAGCAGGTTGCTAGCAGAGCAGGTCAAACACCTCAGTTAATCATTGGTGGGCTAAACAACTAAACACAAAATATTTGTAATGAAGTTATGTCAAACATTACTCACATCTGGACAGGAGTTCTGACAAAGCCAACGCTTTGTTTTCCATTAAGATACAAAAAAACTTTATAGCAGCACAAGAGAAGCTAGCGTTAGCTAATGGGACAGATCTAAAGCTGGCTAGCTGATTAACTGACTGAAGTTAGCTGAAGTCATTTTAATGACGTGGTTGTCTATGTGAACATTAACCGGGTCAATGATTTAACTTTATACTGACCGATTCAGAACCCGCCTATCGGACAACAAGCTACTGAACAGCAGATTGGTTTTAGAGTCAGCCATGTTTCCAAAAGCCTACCATGCCGGAAAGCCGCCTCCTTCTTCTTCGAGGTTCTTGGCGCGTTGGTATCCAAGAAATTGTTGCATTAGCGCCCCTGCTGTGCAGTGGGCAAATTACATTATAGATGGAAACGAGCACCACCTAGCGCAAGGGGTGGACTGACCCCTCACCTCTGATGAGGTCACATTTAAGGTTCTGTGTTAAACTGGTTTTCTTCCTTTTTGACCGACAGAACCTTCTCTGTTAGTATTGGCGACTGCGTCTCTAATATAGCTCCCCTCACCTCAGGTGTTCCGCAAGGTTCAACCCTGGCTCCATTACTCTTTTCTATATATATTTCACCTCTTGCAGCTATTATATCTAGCCATAATGTTCATTTCCACTTATACACTGACGATGTTCAGATTTATATGCCACTGCTGCTATCTGACTCCAATGCTCTTACCCCGTTCCATAATTGCATCCAGGATATTAGGCAATGGCTTGCACTAAATTTTCTGCAGTTAAATGAGAGTAAGACCGAACCCATCCTTATTAGTCCTGATCCGTCGCCTGATGTTGTTAACCTCTGCACTTCAGTCTTCCCTCTATCTGACACGGTGAAAAATCTCAGTGTAATTCTTGATAGTGGTTTTACTTTTGAGAAACAGATTAGGGCAGTGGTTAAGTTGTGTTTTTTTCCGGTAAGACTCTTATCTAAGGTTAGACCTTTTTGTCACATGGAGATCTGGAGAAGGCTATTATTGCATTTATTTTTTCACGGTTAGATTATTGCAATGCTCTGTATGTTGGAGTTCCCCAGACTTTGCTTCAAAAACTACAACTAGTCCAAAATGCAGCAACTTGGTTGCTATCTAACACCCCCAAGTTTGCTCATATCTCCCCTATTCTCTGTGCTCTTCACTGGCTTCCAATCCAATTCAGAATTAAATTTAAGATTTTATTGTTTGTTTTTAAGGCTATTCATAGCCTCGCACCTTCTTACTTATCTGACCTATTGGCAATTTATGTGCCAACAGGTCAGAGTGGCGAGAGCGCTGCACCTTAACCACTAGCCTACCAGGGACCACCTCTTTCTTATATCAAAGAAGAAATCATGTTAAAGTGCAAACATGTTTGTTCACAGTCACTGAATACCAGAAATGCCATAAAATCTGAGTCAGTGGAGCTCCGATACTACAATTTTCCACGGCAGTGAGTAAATAAAGATTCATCATAGTAACAGGTAAATTTAGAGCAGAGTCCCCATTTGAATCCAATGCATCTAGAAATATTAACATGTGACATTAACATTCATTTATTTTTAAATCACAGCAAGTGCAGTGAAACAGTCTGAATAGTGGTGGAAGGTCACTATGTACATTTACCATTTACTTAGGTACACTAAAGTACTGTACATTATCACCTTCATGAAGTAGGATTTATTGCAGAACCATTGAATTGGACTAATTTAGTGTGAGGTAGGTGGTTAAGGGCTCAAGTCAGGGCTGTGTCAGGAAGGGCATCCGGCGTAAAACACATGCCAAATGTCAACATGCAAGTCGTCAGATTCGCTGTGGCAACCCCTAAATGGGAAAAGCCGAAAGTGACTTTCCTTTCCTAGTGTGAGGTAGGTGTACCTAATAAGCTGGACACTGAGTCTAACTGGGGCTGCCCTGGTTGCCTCCTGTCTCTCCACACTCACTCAATAAAGACAAAAATGCAAAAACAAGCTTAAAACAGTCAATCTTACATGTTGAGGAGAAGGGTTTCATGCAGTCTTCCTCTGCCTCTGTGCTGTAAGGCTGCCATCTGCTGGTCGGAGATCCCCCAGAGGCTGTGGAGGAAAAACACTTCACGTCACATGAAGGATTTATGAAGACTGAGACTGAACAGCAGTAAGTGTGATAGCAGCACATGTAATGACTTCCACTTTGGTTCAGACTGTTGTTTTTAATTTACAAAAAACAAGGAACATATAAACAACAACACTGCTTCTGTCAGGAGAATAGAAAACACACAAACAAAGTCAAATATTCAAATCACTGAAATTAAACATAGAAAACCTGTGCATTTTAGTTTTCTTATTTTTGACAGTTTTTATTGTAGTGTCATATTCATACCACTCGACAAAAATGTTCAAAATTAGGTTTCAATCTAAAGTCTGTCCATTTCTTATGTATGTGAAATTTTCCTTTTATTATAATTGTACAAAATTAAAGAGATCCATCAAATTGCCTCCGAGAACAAGAATAACGTCTTTTCCCTGTAAATGGATCCTTTGCTTAGACAAGGTCAAAGTGTTTATTTGTCATATGCAGTTAGGAAACGTGCTTCCCTGTACAATGAAATTCTTACTTTGCCGTCCACATGAATGCCACAAAATACTAATGAAATATAAAGTAGATGAGCAATAACACAAATCTAAATAGGCATTAACACAAATCTAAAGCACTTTAAAACAGCAAGTGAAGGAAGCAAATAAAAATACAACAAGAACGTAATATAATGCAGAGAGAACATATGCTACGTGGGAGCCGTGGAGTGTAAATACTCAGCAGTGAGTGTGCAATTGTGCATGTGCAAAATGAGTATGTGATCTTTCTTTGCTTAGTCTAATAACTGTGGTTTTAAACCAGGGCTGGTTTATGAAAACTGGAAAGTTCCACAGGCAGCTTCTTGATAGAAATCTCACTCCTCCCTCTTTTAATAAAAGATGCCATAATTTCTTTAACCAGGAGAAACAGAAAGGGACTAAGGTGACATCCTTGTCTTATTCCATGACCAAGAGATGCCATAAACCAGGAGAAACAGAAAGGGACTAAGGGGACATCCTTGTCTTATTCCATGACCAATTACAAACCTAGAGAAGTACCATTACCTCATTTCACAGAGCTATTGCATTCATTATATAAACTCTTGTTTTCAAAAATCACTCCCAAAACCAAAGAACTATAAGTGTTGGTTGGATTGTGATGAGATGCAGCTCAGATGTTAATGTTACTGTCAGGATGAACCGTAATAACTGTGATTCTGTGACTTTTCATCAGGTCAACATTTCACCGTGTCCAGCTCTTTATGACACAGTACCTGTTAAACTAATGATGGGGTTTACGTAGATTGTTTATATTGTAAATATCCTCCCAACAGCCTCAGCTGGACGCTGTGTTTACTGCTGCTGAGCTCATGTTAGCTCATGCTAAATATTAGCATATTGGCAGTCAGTGACCTTCAGGCTGGTCACACCCAAGTCTAGGCAGATGTTTCTCCTCAGAGCTGATAAATTGCTTGCAAAAGTAGGAGTAAAGAAAATCTTTATTCAAGTAATGATACGTCCTTTCATAAACAGTTTGACATACACTGTTGGTTTCCAGGCCTTTAAGATGGAATCATGAGTGTCCAAAGTCAGATTGTAAGGACTTCTAAACTGAGCCTGTCCACTGACCGGAGAGGGCTGCACTCTCCAGCTCAGAAAGTTTGTTGTGATCCTTCAGGTTGTGGCACAGTGACACCTTCAAGAACCAGGAGACCAGCTCCTGCAGGACCCGAATGGCCACACTCGGTCCTTTAAAGACAGCCAGACCGTGTCTTCATCTTCAGGCCTGCCTCATCTTTGTTCACCTCTTCTTTGTCTTTTTTTACTTGGTTAAGATTTATTAAATTGGGAAATCAGTGAGCTCAAGACCTTCTTTGCAAAAAAAGACCCGAGAACAAATTACATATAGACAAGATGACAATGAGAGAAGTCTCCCAAACAACCATCGCACTCACACACGTTGGTCTCTCTACAGTTGTGAGGACACTCACTGACATGCTGTGTTCCTTGAACCGTTACCACCCATCTGAGACCATCTGCAACAGCGGCCTGACCTCTATCAGAGAGACATGATCTGAACCACTGATGTGCAGAAACCAACAGTCAATCCCAAAACCAGAGATCAACAGTGTGACATCCCTCCCACAGTTTTGGAGGTCAACCTGGCCAGCCCCACAGGACTGGCTGGTGTGTGGGTAGGTGGGGGTCACCAGCTGATCTACCTCACCTGGGGCCTCTTGGCTATTAAAGTCTTCCATGTGCAGACACAAGAGGCAAATCCTTGTAATGAAAAACTGTGTGGTGAGAGGAGCTGAGGCAACACGTTTTAACTGACATGAGACGTCCTTTCAGTTCAGTTCAGTTCAGACAACTTTATTAATCCCATGAGGGAAATTTAGTTTAACAGGTTTACAATCTACTCAAACATACACAGACGCACCTACAATCCTTCAAGCCTTCATGTGAAGCGTCCACTCACAAAGTGATTTCTAGTAAAGGGGCGTGTCAGTCCATAACAGACTTCCGTGAAGGATGCGCTCATATATCCTCGGTTATAGCTCCTCCAGGCAGCCTCCTCACAACCCAGAGCAGAAATAAGAGTACCTGAGCAGTTTTCTTATTGAGACCACTGTGCCTGAAAGTTGAATTAAAAGGTGTACAAGTGCCATAGTGATAACAGCAGGCGAATGATCCGGGGGTCAGCCATGTCCTTGCCAGGAGACATTCTTGTGTTCATCAAGGCTCTGAATATGTGACAGTGAGCCAAAGTAGACAAAGGACATGGATACACACAGACTTTGGCCTCAAGGTTTTTGGCCTAAACCTGGATGATCACCTCCTCAGCTCCTCCTGGTCCTGGTCTACCTCTCAGCACTGATCTTGTACCGCAGGACAAAGTACGCGATGAGCCTCAGAGAGAAAAAGAAGATGGCGAGGATGATGAAGTCCAGGTAGAGCTTGGCATCCAGCATGTCCAGCTCCTTCAGGATGGCCTCAGACTTCTGGAAGTGACACGTGTGGTCTTCATCGCAGTGAAGATCATCTCGATCCAGACCGTAGATGGACAGGATGGTGCCCTCAAAACCATATCTGCAACACAGTAACAGGGACCTTTAGAGGTCTGGTCAGGACTGACCTGTGAAGTTGGCAGGTTTTAAATCAAATGTGATTCTTTTTCATCTGTTTCAGTGATTTGTTGTGGATGTTTAACTGCTGATTTAGTTTGTGCAGGTATCAAGTTTTTTTTAAGAAGAAACTTAACACTGCATGTTTTGGATCTTTAAACTTAGCTTTCATGTTATTTGGACAATTTTAAATGATTGCTTACCTCAAAAAAACCCTCAGTTCATTCAGAGCAGCTTCATATACAGAGTACATCATTTACTCCCTTAATTATCTTAATTTACTACAAGAACACTATAATTACATAATTACTGAGGAAATAATATTTTAGCATAAGCATAAAAGTACTTTCTTTTGTCTTTTACTTTTGTCTCTTCCTGTTCAGAGTTGTAGCACCCCCACCTGACATAGGAGATGTAGGACATCCACTGCAGGTACCAGGGGATGGTGTCAAAACTGACAAAGAACCCAGAGAACAGCAGAACTGGGATCGCTGTGACCGGGCCAACGAATGTCGCCACCTGTGGGAAACAAATGCCCGAGTGAAGTCAGCAGGTACGCGGAACTGTCTGTGAGGTCACACAGGTGAGTTTACAGCAGTAAAGTAACCTGCAGCGAGTTGGAGGCGGCTCCGATCAGCAGACCCAGACTCTGAGCCACCAGCGAGGTCAGGATCCCCAGAGACAGGAAGAGGAAGAACCGCCCGGCATCTGCAGGCTGAGCCGTCATCCAGTACACAATACTGCAGTATACCACCGGAAATACTACCTGTACAACGGGACAGAGTACAGGACTGGGCTTGAGCAGAGAGGTTTGTTCCTGCAGTCTCAAATGATTCTGCCTGAACTGAAACATGTCTGTGCATTTCACAAGCTGCGAGCAGACTAAACAGGCACAGTGCAGGTTTTATAGTCAGATTCAGACATTTCAAGTCTGTATTAATTTTCTGACCTTTGTGTTCAGAATTACAGATGTGCATTTGTGAGTTTGCAACATGGAGTTTACAGGAGCTTCACTGCCCACATTTTTAATTATCTTTGGACAGAAGAAGTGAAGTACAAAAGAGTAATTGCTAGAGGCTCAACGGATTTGCTGGAGCCGGTAAAATAAATATAATATCAATTCACAGTCTGTCATTTTGTCTTAAATGTAGTTTTCAGCCTGAACATGACTAATTATTGGATTGAACTGACTAATCTGAGAGATGTTCTCCTGTGTCCAGAAAGGTTACCTGTGGGAGTTAAATGTAAATGTTTGACTACTAATGAGTAAACCTTCAGACCTCGTCACATTATATCAGAATCAGCTTTATTGGCCAGGTGTGTCAGACACATGAGGAATTTGACTCTGGTACATCGGCTCTCAGTGTTTATGTACATATCCCCATGCAAGGGGCAAGTAAACAGTAAACCAGCATAAGGCTGTGTAATATAACAAAATAAGCAGTATTAACAAGCAACAACCAGGGCAAACAATGCAAAATAAGTGGTATAGACAGGAAGTAAACAATGCAGACAGACAAGGAATGCTCATTGTGAAATGAGATAATAGGAATAAAGGAATAAAAATAGAGATGTGGGCATATATTAGTGATCGTTACTTGGAAGGGGATGTCGGCCATGGTCTTGGCCAGGTAGTAGGCCTTCAGACTGTACCAGTAGTTCAGGTGCTCCCTCAGAAAAACTCCCATCTCCAGAGGAACTGAAACACACCGTCACAGATCCACATGAGATGATGCTCTCTAACGTACACAGAAACAAACAGAATTAACACATGAATGAAAGAAACTGTGTATCTGAACCCAAACACAGACAAAGAGTGGAGAGTGAATACAGCAGGTCATGGACATGAATTCAGGTTCAGTGTTGAAGCGCAGGAAACTGCTTTAATTTTGGCCTTGGCCATGGATTGGCTGTAGAGTCCCTGCTGTGCACCACTGCACCTTACTGACTGGTGAAAGTCAGACTCACATGTGAGCACTGTGGGCATCAGGGCAGCGAACATGAGGAACAACATGGAGAAGAACAGGAACCCTGAGTTACTCAGAACCTTCTTGGCCTCGTTCCCGATGCCCAGGTACAATAGACCAATCAGAACGCCGATCCCGATGTGAGATGAGATCCTCAGGTGAGTCAGCATCTGCTTGACCAATGACAACATTTCTTACTACAGCTGTTTCTGCATGTGTTCATGATATTGGGCTTGTTCGAGATGAACTGCGCCTGGGCAGCGGACAAGAGCAGGTGGCTGCAGGGGCAGAGACAAGAAGCTGTAGTCACAACGGACAGTGGGGAGACTTCCCAGCAGTCTTCACAGCCTGACACTGACATGCCGACTGAACACAGTGTCATCAAACCAAACAGTTCAGCTTGTTCTCCGGCAGCTGTTTTAATGATGCTCTTCATTATGACAGGGAGACTGATACAATGCTAATCTGTGTCTATGGCTTAATCTCCAGGTTACTCAAATAGTGTATACAAATAGTTTAGTGGTCTGCTGTTGTCTAGTAGCTGACCAGGCTTGATGTGAAACTACTGAAACAAATTCACAGGAGTCAGCCCAAAGGATCTGTCAGATATGAGACTGTCAGGGCTGAAACATCTGTGCAGCTGGCATTTTAAGAATCTTTATAATTTATAAAGACTTAAATCAGTAATACCCACACCGTGGAGCCATCAGACTGTCTGCAGCCTATCTGAACTATCTGTACGGTAATCTGACTGCTCTCAGCCTCTGACCAGACACATCTCTTCCTTTCACACAATAACCCTTCACCGTTCCAGAGCCCATTGAAAAAATTAAAATCTCTATAAACAAACAAAAATGTCATGCAGCATCTAAACCAATCTGCTCTTAGATCAGGTGAGAGCCTGGCGTTTCCCATCATGCCCTGCAGCGACCCTGATCTCTAAAGGTGATTGTCGCCTATGGTATCATGACATCAGAGTGAGACGGGACCAAAAACTACCCAGCTGCACTGTGCAGCGGTCGATTCTGTGCAGACCTGACTCATCTCGAACGAACCTTATTGAGTGTACTGTCACTCAGACTGTTTCACCCTGCAGTGAGTCAAACTGTCCACTGGGTGTCGCTGTGCACTCTCACCGAGTCTCTGAGGATGCTGAGGAAGGTTCTCCTCAACAGGATGGAGATCTGAGTCATGGAGTTTGCTGAGAAACTGTGGCAACCCTCAGATGACGAACACTCCTGAGAAACAGAGCAGAAGGCAAAAATCAAAAATCATCTCCGTGACTGAAATACTTGTTGAGCAGGGTGAAAGATATGGCATCTTTATAAACACGCTGTATTGGCATTAAAATATAACAGACAACATCTTAATAAAATAGTGAAACACAGAACAGACTGACTTTTACCAGGAAGGTCTCATGTTTCCATGCACGCAGCTTAATGTCATCAGAACACATTTATATCAGCCATGTCCACCTCCCAGACGTTTTCCCTCTCAGTGACCAGGCCAAACTGGAAGGACTATATCGTAACCCAACAGTCTGGGAGGAAACTGGGCCACATGACCGTCGCACACACGACCTGGTTGTTATTCTTGTGCGCACGTGGCTCACATTTCAGTTACATCTATGCACGTGTGGCAGTTTAGGAGCTCAGCGGTGTTCACACCAGAGCCGGGTATATCAGCCGTCACTGACACAAAGATGGGATCTGAGTGGTAAGGCCTGGGATGTGGACGCGGGTTTTAACCACATTTTTCCTGACTTTTATTTTGAAACGTCAGGCAGGTTCCTCTTCATCCTGTGGCGGCAGCGGACAGTTTGAGGAGTTTAAGAGGAACATGTCTGGGTGACACTGACACCTGAAATCTCAGCAGGTGTATTTGTTTTTACCTCCTCCGTGCGCTGCCACAGGAACGGGTGGTGGTTTGTGTCTCTGTTCAATTCGGACCGGTAATTCTTCTCACACTTCCTGTCCTGAACAGCCCTAACCAGTCGGAGCAGCTGGTCCCCGTACTCTCCAGACGCCACCTCCATCACTGTGAAGCAGAGGACAGTCAGAGACGGTGAAGGCAGCGTGGCGAGAGGAGTCAGTGTGGGGGCTTCTTACCAAAGTCTGCAGGGTTGTGGTAGGTGGGACAGTTGAGTCCGAGGTCTCTCAGGTAGGGAACCAGACTGGAGACTCGGCCTCGGTAGATACACTGACCCTGACTCAGCACGTACAGCTGAAAGACACAAATACACCGATGTCCATGCTATAGTACGTAACAGACTAAACTAATGGCGAACTGAGATCAGCAGTTTGACAGCGGACGCTCTGCTGATTCCAGTAACCTGATGACTTACAGTACAGTCATGACAATATGATCCACACTAGCATGAAGGATGATGAGTATACAGATGTGTCCTCAGCTCCAGTCATAAGTCAGTGAATCAGCTGATTTATCTGAAGAAAGCCCAGAAACAATAATCTGCATCGTGACTTTAAAGTCATGCCACTGATGTCCAGAGGCAGCGAGCCCAGATGTTTAAATGGATGGGTAACAGCTATAAACCCAGCTGTGTGCTCCTGGAACGACAGCTGTCTCGGAGACTGCAGACAGTGAGTGAGCCCTGAGCCACAGTCATATAACAGCAGCAGTGAACGTTGGCTCTGCGTTTCTGGGACATGTAGCAGCTGAACCAGCTGCAAAGAGCTGCTGTTGGTTGAAAACATCTGTATTTTGATGCTGGTGTAAATTCTGAGCTCACACACACACTCTCTCTGGATATGACAGAAAACAGTACAGTTATATTAATGCTGAGCTGCTTTATTTATTGTGATGTAGGCCCGCAGCATGCACTGTAGTGTGTGTAATGAAGACAAATGCGATCGTGCACAGCATCACTTCCTGCCCAATGCCGCCTCAGTGTGAAGAACCATTCCCCTGTTTGCTGAACTATAACACAGGCCCAGTGTGTGTGTGTCTGTGTGTGTGTTACCTTGTCGAAGAACTCGAACAGTTTGGCGCTGGGCTGGTGGATGGTGCAGATGACGGTGCGTCCTCCCTGGGCCAGAGCTTTCAGCAGAGAGACCACCTGGAAAGAAGACGAGCTGTCCAAACCACTGAGACACACAGAGACAGGGAGGACAGTCAGTGTTCGGGGTTCAGGCACCTCACAGATCCACTGACACTGAGCAAGGAAGAGGCTGCACCAACTTATGATGGAGAGCAGTAAACACCTGAACCAGCTGGAGCTCTGACAGAAACCAAGATCCTGCAGCCTGTAAACACCTGATCCAGGTTTCTGATTCACTGTCTGCCGCTCTGCAGCTGCAGCTAACTCTCCCATCAGTCAAGCTTGGTCCCAGATGGGTTTTCCAAATGGACAGTGACCCCAAGCAGACTTTCAATGTGGCAGCATGGCTTAAGGACACAAAGTCCAGGTACTGGAATGGCCACCACAAAGCCCTGACCTCAATCTCATAGAAACTTTGTGGGCAGAACTGAAAAAGCATGTGCAAGCAGGGAGGCCTCCAAACCTGACCCAGTTCCACCAGTTCTGTCGGGAAGAACAGGCAGAAACTCCAACAACTTATTGTAAGATGCTCGTGGAAGGCTTCCTGAAACGTTTGACCCAAGTTAATCAATTTAAAGACAGCTCTACTAAATATGTAAACTTCCCCACTGGGAATGTGATGACAGAAATAAAAGCTGAAATGAATCTTTCTCTACTACTATTCTGACACTTCACACTAACTGACCTGAGACAGGGAATGTTTATGGGACTCCTAGCTAATTATAGACCAATATCCAATCTCCCATTTATTTCCAAAATCCTTGAAAAAGGACTTGTCTCCATACTTGTCCTCTTAGATCTCAGTGCTGCTTTTGACACCATTGATCACAGAATCTTACTGCAGAGACTTGAACATGTTATTGGGATTAAAGGAACTGTGCTAAGTTGGTTCAAATCTTATTTTTAGAAAGATTTCAATTTCTTCATGTTAATGACGAATGTTCCACACAAACTGAAGTCAGTCACGGCGTTCCACAGGGCTCTGTGTTAGGTCCAATTCTCCACTTTATACATGCTCCCTTTAGGCAATATTATCAGGAAGCACAACATAAATTTCCATTGCTATGCAGATGATACTCAGTTATATTTATCTATGAAGCCAAATGAATCAGGTCAGCTGGTCAAACTTCAAGCATGTCTTAAAGACATAAAGGCCTGGATGACCTGCAACTTCTTACTTCTAAACTCTGACAAAACTGAAGTTATTGTGCTTGGGCCTGAAAACCTTAGAAATCTGCTGTCTAATCATATAGTTACTCTAGATGACATAGCCCTTGCCTCCAGTACTACTGTGAGGAACCTGTGAGTCATCTTTGATCAGAATATGTCCTTTAAATCACACATAACCCAAGTCTCTAGA